AACGAATTCAAAAGAAGCCCGCCGCAGGCGCCACAAATTTTGGGTGGGTCGCAAGGTGGGTCGCGGGTGGGACGCGGGTGCGTCGCGGGTGGGTCGCGGTGGGTCGCGGGTGGGTCGCGGGCGCGGTTTGGGTCGCGGGTGGGTCGCAGGTTCTCCACCTGGAATCCTGGAGCGACTGCAAAAGAAACACGCCGCAGTGGCCGAAAAATTTGGGTGAGTCGCGGGGTGGGTCGCGGGTGGGTCGCGGTGGGTCGCGGGTTGGTCGCGGGTGGGTCGCGGGGTGGGTCGCGGGTGGGTCGCGGGGTGGGTCGCGGATGGGTCGCGGGTGGGTCGCCAGGGGGGTCTCGGGGTGGGTCGCGTGCAGGTCGCGGGGTGGGTCGCGGGTGGGTCGCGGGTGGGTCGCGGGTGGGTCGCGGTGGGTCGCGGGTGGGTCGCGGGGTGGGTTGCGGGGTGGGTCGTGGGTGGGTCGCGGGGCGGGTCGCGGGTGGGACGACGACAACATCAAATAACAAACAACAAACAAACAAACAAACAAACAAACAAACAAACAAACAAACAACAACAACAACAGCAACAGCAACAGCAACAGCAACAGCAACAGCAACAGCAACAGCAACAACAACAACAACAACAACAACAACAACAACAACAACAACAGCAACAGCAACAGCAACAACAACAACGAGAATTCGCATCGCGAAACTCCACTTCAGCCACGCACCAGGGACAGTGAATGACCGTTCGGTTCAGCCCCCTCGCTCTGATTAGTTCGTTCATTTTGCAAGGGCTTGGGGGGCCGTTTGGGCTAGTCTTTTGGACCCCTTGGGGGGCTCTTGGGGGCCTCTTGGGGAGCCTCTTGGGGGCCTCTTGGGAGCCTTTTTGGGCTTCTTGGGGGCCTCTTTGACCTCCAGGGAGCTTCTTGGAGCGACCCTTACGAGCCTGTTCCGCCAACGTTCGTACTGGGAGCCTTGGTGTTCAGAGATTTGTGCGTTGCCGCTCGCTCGTGGCACAGCATACAGCACGGAATGTCGATGTGCCTGACGATTTGCATTTGTACTTGCTTATCGATGTGCATGTCGAATTGCTGTTCGATCTGCATTTCGATTTGCATCTCACTATGGGTCTCACCATCGACCCCACGATCGATCTCACTATCGATCTTACTATCGATCTCACTCGATCGATCTCACTATCGGTCTCACTCGATCGATGTCACATTCTATCTCACTCTCGGTTTTCGATCCCACTATCGATCTCACTATCGATATCATTCCATCGATCTCACTATCGATCTCACTATCGATATCACTCCATCTCACTATCGATCTCTCCATCGATCTCACTCGATCGATCTCACTATCGATCTTACTCAATCCATATCGCCATAGATCTATCGCTCTCACTATCGATCCCGCAATCGATCTCACCATCGATCTCACTCGATCGATCTCACTATCGATCTCACAATCGATTTCACAATCTATCTAGCAATCGATCTCACTATCGGTCGCACTATCGTTTTCGCACCAGCGGGACACTGGGACACCAGCTGGACACCGGCGGGACACCGGCGGGACACCGCGCGGCCCCGTTTGCCGGTCGAGAAACATTTGGTCCAGCCGCGCCTCAACCACAGGAGACTTACCGAGACACCAGCGGGACACCGGCGGGACACCGGCGGGACACCGCGCGGCCCCGCTTGCCGGGGGGGGAATCATTTGGTCCGGCCGCGCCGCAGCCACAGAAGACTTTCCTCTCGCCCGCCAACGCAACTTCGCCTCGCCCGCACGCGCGGCACGCACGAACACGAAACCGAAACCGATTTCCCGGTGGGGGGCTCTCCGTTTCACTTCGATCTCACCCCCCAACCTCCGATTTCTTTATAGTTTCTGGGTTTCCGTCTTCCCCCCCACTTCCCATACTTTCACGGCAATCGACGGTTGCGGCTGTCTCTGTCGATTACGCCAGGCACCCCAGAAAGCCGCAAATACAGCTGTCCTTGTTGCCCAGGCCGCCTCCAAGACGGCCAAGAAAACCTTAGGATGGGCTCCAAGATGCCTCCAAGACGGCTAAAAAGATGGCCCACGATGGCCTCCAAGACGACAAGACGGCCCAAGATGTCCTCCCGACGGCCCAAGAGGCCCTCAAGAACCCTCAAGAGGGATCCAGGAGGACCTCCAGAAGTCAATTCGGATCTCCAACGCTTCCAAGACGGCGCTAAAGGTCCCCAAGATTGCCCCAAGACGGCCCACGAGGGCTCCAAGGAGGCCCGGAAGACGGCCCATAAGGGCCCTAAGACGGCCCAACAGGCCCCTGACAGTCCAAGAGACCTCCAAGGCGGCCCTAAAGCGAACAAGGAAAGACCCACGACTTCCTGGAGAGAGTCCCCAGACGGCCTCCGAAGGCAAAGATGCGTCATTGAAGCCCCCAGAGGCCCCCAGCAGGACCCAAAGAGGTCCCAGGAGGCCCCAGGAGGCCCCAGGAGGCCCCCAAGCGGCCGTTCGAGGCCTCCAAGGGGCTCCAGGGAAGCCCCCAGGCGGCCCCAAGAGGGCCTCAGGAGGCCTCCAATTCTTCTTCTCCTCTCTCCCCCCTCCTTTCGCTTCCTCTCTCCAATTTTTCCCTACCTAGGCTCTGCCTAGAAGGGTTCTTACTCTCTAGCTTAAAGGGGCCGGGCAGTGCTACACGCCCCGGGCGGTTCCCCCAGTCCCCGCCCCGCGGTTCCCCCAGTCGCGCCCCCTGGGTTCACCCAGCTTAGCTTAGCATCAGCTTAGCTTTAGCTTAGCGTTAGCTTAGCTTTAGCTTAGCTTTAGCTTAGCTTTAACTTAGCTTTAGCTTAGCTTCAGCTTAGCTTCAGCTTAGCTCTAGCTTAGCTTCAGCTTAGCTTCAGCTTAGCTTCAGCTTAGCTCTAGCTTAGCTTTAGCTTAGCTCTAGCTTAGCTTCAGCTTAGCTTTAGCTTAGCTTTAGCTTAGCGCTAGCTGAGCGTTAGCTTAGCTTCAGCTTAGCTCTAGCTTAGCTTTAGCTTAGCTCTAGCTTAGCTTCAGCTTAGCTTCAGCTTAGCTTTAGCTTAGCTTCAGCTTAGCTCTAGCTTAGCTTTAGCTTAGCTCTAGCTTAGCGTTAGCTTAGTATTAGCTTAGCTTTAGCTTAGCTCTAGCTTAACTTTATCTTCGTATTATATTAGCGTTAGCTTAGCTTTAACTTAGCTTTAGCTTAGCTTTAGCTTAGCTTTTCTGTTACTACTAATGCTGCTTTCCTAGGGGCTCCAACTCCTAGGTAGGGTCGCACTGGGATAATTTCCCCAAAGGGCCACAACGTCTGGAAAACCGTATGGTCCAATAGTCAACTTGAACAAACTCGGGCCCAAAATTTGCCGCACTGGCAGCTCCAACCGGCAGGAGGCAGCGGTGATTCACCGAAGGTGCCTTCGATAATGTTTACATGTGTGTTCATGTGAAAGGCGCATGTCAGAAGTTGGGAGCTTAAATCAAAAAGAAACGCAGAACCCACACCCAAAAAACGGTTCTGGCTTCGTGACCGTGCCATGCGTACGGGCGACGCGAAGATGCGTCCGCGGGCGAGCGGAGTGACTCCACCGTTGCTAGGGCGAAGTCGGAACAAATGATTCCTCCCTCACGCCCAATTGGCGGATGTGGAGGCGGGAATGTCCAACGGTTGCCCCATGGTTGTTCCGTGATTGTCCCGCGTTTGCCTGGTGGTCGTCCCGATGTTTGTCCCGATGGTTGTGCCGACGGTTGTCCCAATGGTTGTCGATGTTCGTTCCGATGCTTGTCCCGATGATTGTCCTGATAATGAAATTTGTTGACAGAGAGTGAGGCCACTCGCGCACGCATAGACCGAGATGTTTAGATCTAGGTACATGGATGTAGATGTATACGCCGCTAGTGCTACTGGTAGGAAAGTGACAACTACAGATCAATCACAAGTACGAACGAGAACTGCTGATGTCGATATGATGATACATGTTTTACGTGGCAAAATGTATGTTCTGCTATGTGTTCTGCGCTGTGCAGTATAAAGTTGTGCGGTCTATGAAGCGCAGTCTGTGGTGCGCAATATCTGTGGAGACGACGGGAGGCGACGAGGCGTTGCCATGACGGCGACGGCGGTCACACAGCCGCCAGAGCGGCCGACCCAGACGACGGGCGGGCGGCGACGAGGCGGCGACCGGGCGGCGACGGCGGTCAAATGACAGTCAGGGCGGCACACCGGCCAAGTTCGTCAGAGAACAATTCAGAACCCGTAACTACAAATACTTTTGAGAGGATATCAGAATGTTGATGGTGACGCAATGGTATGTAGACATAGCGACACACTACAGAGAACCATATCTAGGTGTATACAAACAAAATAAAACCAGTAGAGTTTGTCCCAATGTTCACACTGACGGTATATTGATTGACTGATAGTGGAATCGATCGATTGATCGTGTGGCCGATCGATCATCACCTCGACGAACGTGGATACGGGGATCGATACACAGGTATCGAGATACATAAAAGGATAGTGAGGTCGAGCGATACCTAGACCGAGAGAGGTTGGGCGCGCAATGACGACAAGAGTCCCAATGGTTGCCCCGTCGTTGATTCCATCACAAGGCAGCCTCCGTATCTGCCATTATACTCTTTCTTTCGTTACTGTTGGCAAGTTCTCCCAATGAGTATTCTCATGATGGGCACAACAGCTGCCACTCTTGCCCCACTTGAAGAAATGTGCTCCACCGACCGGATCCCGCGGGGATAATGACGCGGGACGCCGAGTCTGGCAGACTCGCCTCCTCCCGCATAGTCCTTCGTTCGAGGTCAGCGCCCCTGTTGAGGCCTGTCATGGCACAGTTGTGCCGTAGCGTTCTCCAGCCCAGTCACTTACATCTCGAAAGCAAATGCTACCTGTGCGCACAACCAGCACGACCATACCACTCGCTTCGCACCCTCCTCCTGATCCGCTTCTGCCCGCCTGTGCCCCCTCTCCAGTCAAGCTGCCGCCTGAAGGCAACCTGCTTCTTGTTGCCCTTCAGCACAACATGATCCTCCAGGAGAGCGGAAACCAATCTGAAATCTGACGACATAATTGGCACGGGGCCATGGCTTAACTGAAGGGGCGCTGGGACACACAAATAAATACACACAAATAAAAATATCCCCCATATGTTCCCATATGTTCTGGGTTTTTGTCGTCCCCCCCACTTCCCATAGTTTCCCATATTTTCCTTGGAGTGGACGATTAATTGTGTCTGTGTGTTTTTTTCCTCCTGATTAACGGAGGGCGGAGCCTCATTGGAACGGCTGTGTGAGCCACGCTCTCCGATTGAGTAGAATACGCACCAAACGCATCATACAACATCGGACACTCGTGGAGGTTCGGAAGAGCGTGAAGCGGAGAAGTGGGACGGCGACGACAGCAGGGACGAGAATGATCGCCACACCAAGGCATGGAATCAGTTCGAAGGCCTCGAAAACCATCTGCGGGAGACAGGAGCCAAAGACCTTCATCATGCCTGTGTATTTCACCATCACGGATGGCAAAATCAGATGAGGCCCCGCCTTAACATCCCGAGAGCACTGTAGCCGACATGTCTCACACGGACAACATCGATGCGGCATCGGCCTGGGAAGGGCGCTCACTGCATCACCACGAGACCATCAAACACCAATGCCCCCGACCAAATCGGCGATGGAACTCGTCTGTTCTGACCCGCGTTCCACTCCCAAAGAGAAGATGTCCAACAACCCAGCTGGGTTTTGGAGCGCGCCAGGGGTAGCGCTGGAGACGCCACCAGGAGCGTGATGAGATTCAGATTGGCAAACAGTTACTTGCATGGCATTCCACCCCCCCACCGACATTTGAACCGGCGCTGGGCTGAGAAGGCGTACAATTGAGTCCCGCCTTGCGTGAAGTCCAAGCTTTTTTCCAAGCCTCGCCGCACCCACACACCCCGTCCACGCAAGTATCCTTTCTGGAAAGGAAAAACAAACTGCCTCCAGGGGGTCCTGCGCGAATCCAGGAGTGAAGGGAAACTGGGACACACAAATAAATACACACAAATAAAAGGATGTCCCATATTTTCAAATATTTTCTGGGTTTTTGTCTTCCCCACCACTTCCCATATTTTCCCATATTTTCCTGGGGATCGACGATGAATTGTGTCTGTGTGTTTTTTCCCCTCCTGAAGGAGATCCGCTCGGACCTCCGAACAAGACGGCGTGCGCCAATCTTTCCTCGTCGGCTCACCCCCCCGTGCCCGAGGGGCAACGCTAAGGGGGGACCGGCTCAGGGGGGATACATCGACCTTGAACCGGCGATGCATCTGCGATAGGCCCTCGATAGCGAATGCAAGTTTCTGGGCGGCGGTCAAGAAACAAGCAAACCACTGACAGCAGAACGATGCTGGCTGCAAGAGGCCAGCATCACCTCTGGAGCTGGAACCGCACGGTGGCGGCCAGCACGCGAGCTCGATTCTCGTTGACAGGTTGCAGAAAGTGTTTCTTGGCATTGACGGCGTCAAACAGGAAAGTAGCAGCAGCTGGAACGCGCGGGGTCTCCAAATTGGCGGATACGGATCAGTAATCCCGGCCGGTCGGCCGCGGCGACACCCTGATAGGGGACACAGCTTTGCCTGCCTCGCGAAAAGCTGCCAAGCAGATGCGGCGAGCCATGGTTGCTTGGTGGTCGATGCATCCCCCCATGAGCCAAGCCCCGCCAGGGATGCTCGTCGTCCAGCTTTCGGGTCATGACTCTGGGCGAGGCGCAGCTGGGCACCGTGGGAAGCTCTCGGCGAGGCGCAACTGCTGGAACGCAGCCCGAGGCTGCAAAACCGCTACGACAGGTTCGTGTCGTGCCGCCTTCGGCGATGGTTTCTGACACCGAGGGGATCGTTCAACCTTGAATGATCGGCCGCTTCCGAAACGTCCAAGTCGTTCCACATTGAACGATTCTGGGTGGCTCGCGGCGTTCAACGTTGAACGCCGCTGGCTGGGTCGCCGCTGGTCGACACGACACGAACCTACCGTAAGACCCTGCGAGCACGCCTGAGCGCCAGGCAAAACCTCGGCCTCCCAACGCCCCGACGTCCGACCCCCCCCGCGGCGTGCCGTCCCAGTCGCGCAACCACTCGGCCAGCTTGCGCACCGGCGCGGCGTTGCCGACCAGGTCCCCCAGGCTGCGCGGCGCGTGCGCGTCGACCTGGGCAGCCGGCTCGCTGGGAGGAGAGCCTGTTTTTTTTGGATTCAGGCAAGGTTACTTGCATGGCGTTCGCCCCCCCCCCCCCCCCCCCCCCCTCCCCTCGCCCCTCTTCAAGCGAATACTAGCGTGCAAGTGCCTTTCGACTTGCGTGATTTCCGCGCCCCCCCCCCCCGGGCTTGCAACAGGCTCAGCCCAAGTAAACTTGCCAGAGTCTAACAAAAAACAGGCTCGGAGGCACCGGCACCACTTGGCGGCGCCCACAGGGGCGGCGACGCGAGGGGAGCGGCCCTCAGAGAGGGCGGGGGGAGGCTTCTAAGAAGGCAGGCGGCTTCCGAGGAGCCCTCGTAGCAACAGCCGGGCGCTGCCAAGAAGGCCCACGCAGTCTTAGAAGCCCCCCGCCCGCTCAAGAGCGCCTTGGCTGTGTCGGCTTCTCAGAAGCAAAGAGACTGGACGCCCGATGATGGTGGGAAAAAACGGCACGATGCCCGTCAGCATATGTTCTCCAAAGCCGGCAACGGCCGCTGTTTGGCAGGCAACTGTCTGTCTCAAACGGATAGCGTCCGCAGCGACACGGGCAGCGAGTCCTGCTTCGGGCGATCGCGCCGCGCCGCCGATGCATCGCCGATGCATTGGCGATGCATCCGCAGCGTCGGCAATGCACTGGCGACGTCGGTGTGAGAAAAGGGGCTCCACATCGGGCCGCAGCGGCGATGCATCGGTGATACGGCACGATCCTCCGACCCCATAGACTCCGACCCTAGCTGCGGGACCCCCCCTACAGATACCACTAACGCCACTCCCCGGACCACTCCCAGGGTGCGTTCTGACCAGGATTTCGAGGCGAATCCAGCCGTAACGACGAGGGCCGATCCTACCCTCGGCGACCTCGGCCCTCCCGCCCTCGATCAGAAGACTCCCAGATGGGATTGGAGTAGATGGGGTCGGAGGATCACGCCGCATCGCATCGCCGACGTCGGCGTGGATAACTCGGTCTCCAGGTCGAGCCGCGTCGTCGATGCATCGGCGATGCGGCGCAACCCTCCGACCCCATCTACTCGGACCCCATGTGGGAGGCCTGACCGATCCCCTCGGGTGCGCCCTGGCCGAGCCCTTCCGTGACGAGCACCTTCCATGATGTTCCCATCGCCTTCCAGGCCTCCCTCCGGCCGCATACTACGTCCTGGGGCGAGGCCAGGGGGATGTCACGGGAGGGGATGGTATGCTGGGGGTCGTGTCGGCCGCCCCTGGCCTCAGGCTCGCGAGATTCTTCGATCCGCGGCGACCCAGTTCGACAACTCCTGCACGACGACGACGACGACGACGACGACGACGACGATGGAGGCGAATGGCCAAGGGGAGAGCAATGCCTGCACTCCGGGCCGCCGAGGGCTCATGTCCTCGGCGAAGCTCCAAAGGCGAGCACGTGCGGTGCCCGCCCCTGGGCTATTCGTCTCGATACTCGCCTCCGATCGAACATCGAACAACCAGATCTCCGGTTCGTGAGAGTCTTCGATCTACGGCAACCCGCGGCGCCGCCGCCGCCGCGGGTCGCCGCAGATCGAGGAATCGGCTCCAGGCCCGTCTCCGATCGACCAAGGCTTGGATCGAACCACGCCAGGCACTCGATCGGAGCCTGGGTAGCATCGACAGGGTCGCCAGATCCAAACCTTGCGTCGAGAGATTCGAAGAAAAAAAAAACTACATAACCATAAACTTGTTGCGCTCCGCGCGGATTTCCTGGATCTGCGCCGGAACCCTCTCTCTAGTGCGCGGAGCGCGCCAGGGGCGGCGCCGAATGCGCCGCTGGGGAGCTCAGCGCGGATCCAAGAAATCCGCGCGGAGCGCCAAAAATCTATGCTAAGATGCAATTGATCTTCTCCGAGTCGAAAGAGTCTTCCGTCTACGCCGACCCAGCCTCCAGTCGAACCACCCAGCCTCCGGTCGAACCGCGCATGAGGCATCTCATCGGAGGCTGGGCCGAAGGTTCGACCGGGCCGCCGGAGGAGGGGGAGGAGGGGGAGGAGGGGGAGGAGGAGGAGGAGGAGGAGGAGGAGGAGGAGGAAGAGGAGGAGAAGGAGGACGAGGAGGAGGAGGAGAAAAAGGAGAAGAGGAAAACGAGGAGGACGAGGAGGGAGGGGAGGAGGAGGAGGAGGAGGAGGAGGGGGAGAGGAGGAGGAGGAGGAGAAGGAGGGACTACAGGAATTATAGCCTTCTTGTAGCGAAAGGCGGAGGAGAAGGAGGAGGAGGAGGAGGAGGAGGAGGAGGAGGAGGAGGAGGAGGAGAGAGTCTTCCTTCTGCGCCGACCCAGTTCGAATGCTCCCGCACGCTGGCCCCCCGCGGCGGCGCCGCCGCCGCGGCGGCCACCGCCGCCGCCGGGGCCGTCGGCACCGGCGGTGGCGCGGCGGGCGCGGCCAGGCCAGCCTCCATCGGGGCGCCGCGGGGTCGGGGCCCCTCGTTTTCGGCGTCCTCGTCCTCGTTGTCCTCGTCCTCGTTGTGCTCGTCCTCCTCATCCTCGTCCTCGTCCTCGTCCTCGCCATCCTCGTCCTCGTCGTCCTCGTCGTCCTCGTCCTCATCGTTCTCGTCCTCGTGATCCTCGTCCTCGTCGTCCTCGTCTTCGTCCTCGTCCTCGTCGACCTCGTCCTCGTTTTCGTCGACCTCGTCCTCGTGCTTCTCGTCCTCGTCGTCCTCGTCCTCGTCGGTCGTCCTCGTCCTCGTCCTCGTCGTCCTCGTCCTCGTCGTCCTCTTCTTCCTTGTCAGCCTCGTCCTCGTCGTCGTCTTCCTCGAAGTCCTCGTCCTCCTCGTCGACGTTGTCGTTTCCGGGGCTCTGCTGAAGCGCTCTGGCTCTGCGTTCCGTCGCGTCGTCTTCGTTCGCTGGAGACCTCCCACATGAGCGACGAAAATAAAGGGCTGTTCACTTTATGGTTGCCCCTGCCGGTTCTCGATCGTGGCGTTCACAGTCAACATCATTTTGGCCCAGAAGAAGCTGCGTAAGCCCTAACACTAGTGCCTAGCCCGCAACCGCTAGGCTTCAGAGGCAGAAACACCATACAGCTGATCCCCTCTCGACCATTCTTTCGGGGTCCCCTGGGATCCTGGCATTGGGCGTGGCTTACTGAGGGGGTGATGAAAATGGGGATGGGAGAAAGGTGCACTTGCTGGGCCCGAAAAGCCCCCTCTCTTGGGCCCTACAGGGCCCCTTCAAAGGCCCCCCCAAAATCCATCTTCTGCAGCACTCTATGCCCTCCATTGATCGCACCCTCATTACGCGGCTCGGAAAACTGGCGCAGAAGGATGGGGTCTAGGGCTCCAGTCGTGATGTGTACGATGTCTCATGTTTCTCAATTTCGGATCTCAGGGTCTTACGCGGAATAGCATAGCGAAATTACGCAGTGGCGTACGGGGGCCGCCAGCGCGGCACGCCATACTGGAAACCAGGGAGCTTGAGCGCGACCTTGTGCGGGCAGCTTACGCGCGAATGTCCGAGCAGTTGGCCCCGATGTTCTTCGTCACTTAAAGATTGGGTCCGAGCAGATGGGGTCGGATGGTTCTCGCCGCATCGCCGACGCATCGGCAAAGCACCAGCGACGTCGGTGATGCATCGCCGCCGTCGGCGTGGGGAACATCGGACTTCGCATCGAGCGGCATCGCCGATGCATCGCCGATGCGGCGCGATCCACCGACCCCATCTGCTCGGACCCCATATGGGAGGCCCAGATTCTCGTCGTAAGGAAGTTGTCTTTAGACACTGGCAAAGTTCCTTGCATGGAGGGGTGAGGGTGAGGGGGGGGAGGCCCGAGAAGGAGTCTGGACTTAACGCAAACTCCTCCCTTGCACGCCTTTTCGGCCTACCGCCCGACGCCGTTTGAAGTGGCGGCGGACACGCCCCGGGACTTGACGCAAAGAAACGGTACTCCCTTGCACGCCTGTTCGGGCCCCGCGCCCAACGCTGCTTGAAGTGGCGGCGGAAACGCTATGCAAGCAGCAGCCCCGCTAGAACCCCGTGTTCGATCCCTGACCTCCACCGTTCTAGATCAAGACGGCGGCCTCTCGCCGTGTTCGGCCTCGTGCCCTCCGCCTCAAGGGGCCCCGACACCGCCAGCACGCGCCCAAGAGCCCTCCAGGAGGCCTCCCAGAAGAGGTGCCCAAAAGCCCCCCATGAGGCTCCCAAACAGTCTCCGAAAGGCCCCCGAACGCCTCACCACAGACCGCTTCCCTCTTCTGGGGGTCGGCGGGATGGCGTAAACTTTTCGAGATCAAAACGGTGGTTTCTTGCCGTGTTCGGCCTCGGGATAGGAACAAACGACTCCGGAGGAGAGGAGGAGGAGGAGGAGGAGGAGGAGGAGGAGGAGGAGAAGACCGGAGGAGGAGAGGAGGAGAGGAGGAGGAGGAAGAGGAGGAGGAGGGGGCGACGAGGAGGGGGGAGGAGGAGAGGAGAAGGAGGAGGGAGGGGGAGAAGGAGGAGGAGAGAGGGAGGGAGGAGTGGGAGGTGAGAGGAGGAGAGGAGGAGGAGGAGGAGGAGGAGGAGGAGACGGGGAGGGAGGAGGAGGAAGAGGAGGAAGAGGAGGGGGAGGAGGAGGAGGAGGAGGAGGAGGAGGGAGGAGGAGGAGGTGGAGGAGGAGGAGGGGAGGAGGAGGGGGAGGAGGAGGAAGAGTAGTAGGAGGAGGGGGAGGAGGTGCCACCGCTGATCGGAAGCGTGTCCTCGACCGAGAGCTTGAAAGGGGACAGGGAACAGTAGAGCACGCCGCGCATCGCGGACAGCGCTCACGTGCGGCATAAAGCCACACACGCATTAGAATGGACGGAGAGGGGGGGCCAATCATATTTTACGTTCGGCAGCGCGAGTACACCTCAAGCCCTGCCGAACACGACGTGCCCCCCCCCCACCACGAGAGGTCAGATCGGGTCGAGACCCTTGCCTGACTCCGGATGGAGCCCACGAGCCGCATATCTAATGTTTGTGGCTTGTGAGCTTCGGGTCGACGGGTGGTCCGAGCGTCCCTGACACCTGCTGCCCAGACCCCGCAGGCTTCCGTTTGGCAAAATCGTTATAGCGAAGCAGATAGAGCGGAAAAGAACTCGCCCAACCTGTTCCATTTCGTGGCCGAGGGCCCCAAAACGCTCCTGCAACACCAACGAAGGCGGAGCCTGGCCAACATCCAACTCGGGCCCCAGGACCACATCGGCAGCCTCCAGGGCCACAGGCACCGCCTTCAAAGAGAGGGGGATACGATCCTCCGATCTATCCGCGAAGACCGCCGTCGCTTTCCACCGCTGGAAAGTGGAGGGCCCGCAAACCCGCCTGCTGCCAGTCTGGAGCTGGGCGAGGGAAGCGGGCGTCTTGGCATGCAGGTTGCACACGCTACACCGCCATTCGCCAAGCGCAGGAAAGTGGAACAACGCGTGCTCAGACAGAGCCAAGGGGTTCTGAATTCTCCTGCTTAGGGTCGGCCTCGCGGCCGCGGGCGCCGACGGGGCCGAGAGCTCGTGGGCCAGCCCCGCGATCGCCTGCGACATTCTGGCCAGAAAGTCACAAGTAAGCTTGGTGTCCTTTATGCAAGCAGCCTGGCACTTCACAAGGGTGTCCGAGACAGCATGCGACTCCGAGCCTAACCTAGCAAAGTAATCGGCCCAAAGATTACCGAATCTATTCATGACACTGGTCGGCGTGGCGACACTAACGACGTCGTCCCATTCACGGTGGGCGGGGGTCCACTCAAAATTTGGGTCGGGTCGCTGTCGCCATACAAGCCGAAAATCAATCTCCAAACACTCGCGTGCGTCGCGCTACTCGGGGCCAGCTCCACATCCCACGAAGAGCCTTTACGCACAGTACTCAAATGGTCTGAAACAAGGGCCAACACGAAGCGCCTGGTAAATCGCAAACCTCTCGGCCCTGGGCACCGACTGGTGGCGCCCCGGGAGGCCGCCGTAGAAGGCCCCAAGGGGGGGCCCACTGGGCCCCAACTCGACCGCCGACCAACCACACCTTCGCAGTTCGGGACTGGCGCTGGCCAGTCCCGAGCCGTCGGTGTGGGGCTGAGGGGGAAAGCGACCATCGGGAGCCCATAGAGAACCTCAAGGGAATCCCAGTGCAGCACCCCCTCTCAAAACTCCCCTTTGTCCCTAAGCTCAGACCTGCGCTCCAGGACGTCGCTTGGAATAACTGGATCATTCCTGCCTGCGAAGTCAAGCACAGGATCACAATCGTTCGTATATCTGGTGGCCGAGAGAACCCGCAACCTGTTTGTCGCAGAACGTGCATACTTCACTGCTGGCGTATCCCGCTTCGAACTTCCGCTGGGGGGGGCACATCGCATGTCCCAACAGGCATCGAAGGGCTCCTCTGCGCGCAGCGTCGCGGACACGGAGAGACCCCCATGCGCAACGAGCGAAGCCAGAGCTTTTCTCCGCCCACGGCCTCGGGCAGGTGCTTTCAAAATGCATATTGCGCGCCAGCGCTGGATGCCTGCCTGGAGCTCAATCCTCAAGTCGCGAGGAGAGCAACGCAGCAGGTTGAAAGCCACACCTTCATCTGACGTGACGACGTGCGCCGCTGCCATGGACCAGCCTATTCGCTGTAGCGAGAGGAGCACCGCGCTGACAGGTCCATGGCATGAACTCCAGGTGGGCCTGCTAAAAATCTGGTCACGTATCTGCATCCACGCTCTCTGCAGACGTCCGAACGAGAATCTGGCGTCCCAAATCATGCCGGCGCATCGCTGTGTCAGAGGCGCCGTCGCATCGAAAATGGGGTCGTAGAACGGGTCTACCTGCGAGGCCAGCCAATCTGTGAGAGACCCAGAGCGCCTGGCACCTACAAGAGAACCAGCCAATGTGCGCAGCGCCTTCAAAGATGGGTCTGTGAGTCCGCTGACTCCTGCGCCGTGACCTGCTGCCGGCATCAAGCCAGTCCTCCAGAGCATCTGCACCTTCCCTGGAGCACCGCGACGCAGCGGGGCAAGCTTGGGACGGCGGCGAAATACTTTACTGAGCCTAGCACTCTCCTGGGCCCTTTGAGGTCTTCCCGAGAAGACTTCATGGCCCAGGTTGCGCATGTGGGTGTAGCCCCGCAGTCTGATGATACGAGCCGACGACGACACTCTGGACGACGCTTTAGCTGCGGTAGCTACAACCCCACTCTTGAGAACCTGCAAAATCAGACCGAAAGAAAAACTTGATGGCAGTACCACCTCACCGCGGCTAGCAACACATTGCACTCGCACAGCCGCCTGCCAACCCACTGGAAGCTAGAGTCATCCAGGAGGATTCGCGGCTGGACAATTAAGTAGAGTCTGCGCATCTTGCAGATCACGCAGTGAAGGAGCAGATGCATCATCGTGCTGGCGTGGCTGCAGCCAGCAAGTATCCTTTGGTGCGTGACAACACAACGCGACGCATACCCGAACGCCTGGACAAAACGA